TTTTTGACAATTTTACCAGTAATTATACCTAGCACTTTACTACACGGAAAGAAAAATGTAGGTTCCGTAGCTAAAACTGCTTGTGGCAACTAAATTTCAGTTGTAAAATATGGACAGCTAATATTTAGTTGTCATAGCTAAATACTGTGCCTATTGTATTAGATGCGATAGCAAACCGTTTGCTGTGGGTTAGAAATTTATAATTGTGACCGCAAATATTCCAAGCAAACCATGATTAGCTATGGTAGCAAAATTTTTCTTTTCAGTGTAGTAAATTGTGTGGTAAAATTTCAGAAAACCCTCATAAAGTTTACACATTAAAATCTCTGTAAGTTGTCAGTAATAGCTAACAATAATCAAACTTTTTAATCGACATTTGCGAAAAATATTACCTCAGTCAGCGTTTGAACCTAGACTTCCCTTACTCTCTAGGCGGGCGTCTCACTTCGACCGCTGAAGCATGTGGTAATATTTTTCGCAATAAATTTTCTGTATTAAAAAGACTGGGCGGTTAATGTCGACTAAAAAGCTTGATTATCCTCATAAAGTTGTTGAAAATGCCATGTTGTTCCGCGATTACATGATTTTCAGGGTAAATTTCAAAAGAGAACTCCCTGTATTATATATTTTTAAAAGGATGAAATTATTCTCGGCGTCTGAGAAGTAAAACGAGAGGGATTAATCCAAATTAACTGAAATTCGTTGTTTTTACAAACAGAATTGCGTGTATATACGTTTTATAAGCCACTTCTCGTTACTTGAACGACATTGTGAGTTTCTACCGCGCAATGGAAACGTTAATTTTTAATGCAACAGAGGTCACAAGAGGTCTGGTAATTGGAGCGACGAAGCGGTAGTCGCGTTTGTTTGCGAGATGGGACGGAACAGTTACCTCGCATTTAACGTGGAAAGGCAGCCAATTAGCCGTCTGCATCGCGTCGAAGAAGACGCGACTCTTAGGTAAACGCAAATAAGCGACCCGGGAATTTCCCGAAGCCCGTGCCCGAGACGGGGCGGTGGCACAGGGAACGATAGAGAGCGAGGCATCGTAGGGAGCGAAGGAGAAGAAACGGAAGCGCGATGCAAAACCCGGGAGGGGGGAACCGTAGAGAAAGACGGAGCCGTCTGAGACGGATGTAAAAGAGAAAACGCAGTTCGTCGCGTTTACATTTAATTAATTAGTCGGTCAACGTCGGCATCCACCGCCGCGGATGTGGAGAAACGAGCGAGCGCCACCGCGGGCGAGACGCGCGTTCAAACGCGCTTCTTTCATCCTCCTTCGTAAAGTTGACAGGCATCAGCCGCGTCACGTTGCTGCGAGCGAGGATTTATCCCGTTTGAGTAATGAGGTACGCCTAAATTGAAAGTCAGGTTGCAAATGAGAAAGGTGTAGACGTAATTAATGTATAGCAATCGCGATATTGAGCGCTCGCGTTATTCTTACGCCTCGCCCGCTCTGAAACCCAAGTTGCGGGGTGCTTAATAATTGGTACTTGAAGAAGTGTTTTCGCGTTTCCAAGTGGAGCTTTGTATTTTATACCAAACGACCGTTCATTAAATTACTTGGAAAGTTATTCGCGAGCCACTTCGGCACGGAGACGATTATAAAAATGAGGATACGCCACGACAATGTCTGTCTCTCGAAGGCAAACTCAGCCGTTTCGTTGTAGAGAATAGTACCGAAGTTTCCGGTCACATCCTCGGCGAACGACTTCCTCGTGTGCCCCCAAGTAGTTTCCAAGCGACCATTAATGCGTAACGGAGTCATCAAGTGAGATTCGTTCCTCGAGGCTGACGCTTCTTCCGCCGTGTCGCGGCTTGAAACGCGTCATGAAATCATCCTTGACAACGGCCCAACGATTGTCACTTGTGTTCACACATTTATGTTGCCGAGCACACATAAATCTTTGAAAGTGCGCTTGTGTCCAAAAAAGGGGACAATCTCAATGAATGAGAATCCCCCTTTACGTAACGGCGCATAGAAACGCCTGAATGAGCAGCGCGCCCCAAGACAATTCTGATGAATCATGTAATAATACAGGACCCATTCTGCGAGAAGTCGATTTTGTATAACGGAGACGGCGGACGTATGCCTCTACGTTCGAACTTTGCCATTGCACCTCCATCGAAAGTGCCCACGCGCGGCCGGATAGAGCGCGGATGTGCAATTAAGTATAATGAATTCGCCCACGGAATGCCCACGGATCCGTCGAACGTATCATTAATAAACGCCTCCGTCAGGAGAACACGCTCCGTCCTTGTTTGCGGAGCGCCAAGTTCGATGTCGGAGCGACGAATGCGTACGCGCTTCTTTCCTTGAGCTCTCTTGGGATAAGTCCGGGGCTCCGTCGTCTCTTGAATAGTCCGCCGGCGTTCGCCGAATTTACCCGCCTTCGATTCTACGAGTAATTAGAGGGAACTTTATCGCCGGGAGCCCCACCTTTCGAATTTAGCTCGCTGTCGCGTCCGGGCGCGCGGCGAAGTTACTCGCCCCCGTGGCAAACGCGAACTTTTAATTTATTTAAAACCCCCGACGGTAAGGCGAGAAGGAGAGAGAGAAAGCCGAAAAATGTTCCCCTGCGCGGGAGAGCCCGAGTTTGGACCCTGTATATCCTCTAATGAATTCTTATTCGATCTCGGAATTACCGAAGCCGCGAATGGACCCTGTCGACGCACGAACATGCCCATTCCCCTCTTCGTGTTCGCCGCCGAGGCAGCAACGGGGGCTGAAAGCCGCAGAGGCATCGGCGAGGCTGTGAAAAACGCCCGCCTTAGCTTGAAAAAGAAACCGAAGCCGGAAGGGCGCGCGTATCAGAAGTTACGTTTATCAGGTGAAACGCGCGCGGTAGTTTTCACCCACGGCTTCTATCCTTCCTGTTATCCCCCTTCGTTCCTCACTTTTGTGACTCATCCGTCCTCCTGATTTTGTACTTTGCTTTCCTCTCCTCGTATCTCTTCGCCCACGATCGCTTCACTCATCGATCGCGAGCCTACGCGACCCTGAAATCCCCCCCTGCGAGGTGCGCGTCTCCGATTTCCGCGCGGATCAACTTTCGGAAACGGAAGCCTGTCCTCGAAGATTTACAATCGCGCGAGCCGAAAGAAGTGAAACTTTCGTGCGATAACGCGGTCGGTGTCGCTGATTAAAACAAATCGAGATACCAATCTACGAGGGCGTCCGAAATAACAAGATGCCTTATTTCGCAGTGCATTTACGATTGAAATGCAATTCTAACTCGAATTGGTTCTCTATTTTCCATAGTCCCGATTAGTCGCCTGGGACATTAAAGGTCGGTCCGATAAAAGTATAATTATACTTATTGTTTAATCGAACATTTCCCATTTCGTTCGTTTTCAAATATTTACATTCCGCCATGCAACTTTTTGCAAGCAGCGACGCTCAAGGATTCGGGACGATAAATTATTCTTAGCGCGACTTTTTAGGAACTTTTACGTGGGCAGATTTCAATGTTTGATTTCTACGCCCTTCGAGAAACAAGACGATTCAATTTTGTCGAATAATTACATCGACGTTTTCTTTCAGCTAGACGGGGAGCAATTCAATTTCCATAATCCTCCTCCCCCCCCCCCCCCGTGACTCGCTCCGTACGCGTACGCAGCAAATATTAACGCGCGAAATTTATATCCAATCTAAAAGAGCCGCCAAGAGTCCCTACATTTCTTTGAAGGTACTGTGGGCTCGCTCAGAATTTAATACCGGTGCAGCGAAACCGGCAGACGCGGCAACGGGGCTGTGCGCGATTCGCGAATACACCGTGGACGTTTCCCCGTCTTGGCAGCGGGCAATCCGCTAATACATTTCTCGAGATATCATCCGCCATGTATTAAGTGGGATATGAGCTTTTTGCGCGTCTGCCGGTGTTGCTTTCCGTTTGAGATCAAAGTGGATGCAACGCGTCTATTCCCTTCCACGGTTTCCTTTTTCTCTTCTTTTTCTTCGTATCCCTTCGCGCGGAAGGCAACGAAAACTCATTCCCTGTATTAATCCTTTCATACCTGATGTGCATACGTCCCGTAAATAAAATTAATGGACAAATATTTTTCACGGTATTCGTATGTTTGCGAAAGACGAGAAGATAGAAACGCTCGATGTAATTGAGCAGATTTATTGCTTATATTCTTACGTAAATATGCAGTTAATAATATTCGTAACAAATGCATGATTCATTTAATATTTTTGGCTCGGTGTAGATTATTCGTGATAAGGAAATAAATATTGCCACATAATAATGATATATAAATATCACAAAATGAAAACATTACTAATAAATTTAAAATATGAAATATTTAAACACGGTCTTAGTCCTTTATTCCTTCAAATTTGTGTTTATCACATTTGAGCCGTGCGAATTTTATTTATTTATTACTAATAAAATTTTTTATATTAAAATTAAAATAAAGTAATTTTAAAATTAAAGTATTACTAACAAGATTTCATTCTTTTATGAAAATATAATAACAAGAAATGTGTATATAAAGTGACCGACTTTATGTTATTTATTTATAATCTCATCTGTAGAGATAAGATCTACTTCCTAAATACGTATATATTTTAAGAAAATAAAACAATCTTTTCTGATAAGATCAACGGACATTGAGCAAGATTACTAATCTTTGCACTTTTGTCACAAAGATATTGACATTTTTCAAGGATTGCACTACCGATTTACGATGAATCAGTTACTAAATCGTATTGCGTTTCAAGTACCTCCGACATTGAGATTGCAAGACGTACTTCAGCAGACATGCAACCGAAACGATAAAGAATAAAAGCTGAAAGAGATTAACATATCGATGGATTCTCAAGAGCTCAAGTCACATTTAATAATGAAATTAATACTTTGAAATATCTCTAGGTGATTATTTAAAATTAATCATTAAAAGTGTGAACAGATAAAACGAATCTCATGGACGATCTCACAAAATAAATAATTAATCAAGAATAACTTACACTACTCGATAAATTGCGATATACAATATTCGTTTAAATGCCTGAACAACTTTATTTCACAATTATAAATTCCAAATATAGTTTTATCTTACACAATTTTTAATTTTATTTCTTTCATAAAATGTGTCTTTCGTCAAGTCGTACATGACTGCGCTACGTTCCAAATAACGTAAAACCCTGACATAATCACATCCATAAAAACTGTTTCTTCGTGTAATAATATCTTCAAACATGTGTATCAACGTGTCAATAAGAGATCTCGGCTCGAAGGTCTAGGTATAATTGATAACAGCACAAAAGAGAAAGGAGATTATCACAATTACAGCCGATGACGTGGTAGACGTACCGTAATCTCCAGTTTGTCCTAAATCACGTTTTTGCACTACCACCACTACGTCTGTGCCGTTTAATATCCAGTCCAAGTAATGAAAAACGTCCGCGTACACGCCGGGCAGCATTGGCTGGGCGCATCCAATGCCACCGGAAACAATTCCAGTTAGTATTCCATTGCACACCATCCCGCCACCAGAATCACCCTGGAAGAGATTCGAAAATTAGTAATGTCGGATGTAAATCACGCCGATCGTCAACATATACGTAATATGTGCGTAAATGAATGAAGAAAATACGTTACTTGGCAAGCATCCCTCCCTCCCTCCAAGTAACCGGAGCAAAACATTCCCGGTGGCAAATCCGTTTCGTTTTTGAGCAGTTCGCGACATTCTTTCACGCTCCGAATCGGCAGATCCACGTACATCAAGTCCGGGGACGTTATCGGAATACTCTGAAATATTTTGTCCCAGTGGTTTTTTGACTCTGACAAATTTCCCTGCGGCTAAAGTGTTTTGTCGTGTGTACTCACGGACGACGGATAACCCCAGCCAGACACCTGACAAACGGTGTACGGCGTGGGCGCAAATCCTGGCAAGGGCACACTACGGGCCGCCGGAGTAAACGTAAAGGGGTCCGATAGCTACGAAAACCAGATGCGAATTACGCTTAGTCTGAGTCACGTGAAAACGTGGCAAATAAACGGCGAAACGATCATACTTGCAAAACGGCAACGTCGTTATGCAAGCTTTCAAGATCAAATTCCGGGTGGAGCCTGATGTCTATTACGTCCTTTCGCTGTTGCGTCGAACTGTTCCCGTACAACTTTACTATTCCCCCAACCACAAAAATCGCCCATGGTTCTTGTTTGGCTCCATTCCTACGTGATTAATAGCTCCGTTTATTTCTATTCGGTGACAATTCAGTTTCATTTAATTAGAAACCTAGATGCTTATTCCGAACGCGCTTCTCTACAAATCTACCAACGCACACGAGGTATGTGCATTAATTGGTCGATCGACGTTTCAAACAAAGAAACAATTTTTCAAGGAGATAGCGAATGGACAGATTAAAATATATCAGATCACTAAGATATCGCCGATTAATTTATCGCAGCACAACAGTTTGAAGTTGTATAAATCTAAAGCTAGTAACAACAATAAAGTAATGAAATCTACAATTCCATTTATGATGCCTGACTTTGATAATGATCAAGATATCTATTTGAATCTCTTACATATATACGCAGTGACCTGCAGTTAGAACTAAAGAAGCGCTAATTAAACTCCCGCCGCAAAAGTGCCTTTCGGACCAGCTGCGCTTTAGAGACACCTAAAAAAAATAGCGTTTCTTTCAAACGTGCGTTAAATTAAAATTGTCGAGGGATATTACCTGATGAGGGAACTGCCCCAAAACGGCCTTTGTACCGTTAACTATGCGACCAGTGAAATTAACAGCTGTCAGCTTCTCATCGGGATGTTCCCCGACGAAAGGAACATCGATTGGCGAGCCTTAACGCATAAATTAAGAATTGACGGTGTACATATCGCTTTGTCGCGAGTTAAATAAGGTCTACATTGAATGACACGAATGGATTTATCGAGGAAAACGAAATCTGCAACAACCCCGGGTTATTGCGACGCGTGAATGAGGTATTCGCGTTATTCGTCACGGGTGTAAAAATTACTTTCCAGAACGTACGCGGCCCGAGCGATAATTATCGGGCGAGCTTAATGAAAAACTAATTAACCATCGCAATTTTATCCGAGCGCGATTAATATTCTATCGACCCCTCTATCTTGTTGCGAGTGCATGCTGCGCGTATTTTGATTCGATAATGCATACTAATGTACCGTGCAAAATTGCTCGTTGCCCACGCCCTGAATCTCCCCAGTTTCAAAAACAAACAAGAATAATCGGGAGCGAGCAGGTGTTGCGCCTCGTCGCGACTCACAAAATCAATTTGGAGATGGAGATACGTCGTGCAGCCTCCTCTTTTCTTTTACACTTACCACGGACGAAATACAGAGTCGCCAGAAGCGCCAATAGATGTAACGTAGCCCGCATTGTTCTCCGCGATTCACGAAGGTTCATCACTTAATCACTACCATACAGCGACTGCTCGGCGCTGGCAATCGCGGTATAGGAAAATTCGTTATCGGGCCATGGCCGGATTCGAGGCCTTTATCCGTAGCTTTATCCGTTATCGGTTATCGGTTATTATCTCAGGTTAATTGAGATTGGATTTCACGTCAATTGAACGCACGCATGGAAATTCCGATCTTACCGCAACTCACGAATTTTCTTTCTAATTGCTCCACAATTTTTTTTTACAACATCGCACTTTGTCAGCGTAATTTCCGATAAATTACGCCGAGGAGTATCTGTCGTCGGAGCTTCTTTTTTTCTTTTCGCTAAGATAAAACATGTATAATTACGATAATAAGTTTTAGAAGGAGCAGCGATAATATCAACTCACAAAAGATCGCGCCGAAACTGCGACGTAATCGATAGCGATTCGAAACGACGTCGAAAGATCAAGCGTAGCCGCGAGCGCGACAATTCTACCGGAAGCCGATGAAATTACCAAGTAGAATAGATAAAAATGTTCTGGAATTGGCAGAATTTTTGAATTCCGCCACGGAGCCGGACGAGATATCGGACATCAACGACAAGGGCGATCCGAGGATAATGAAATTCCAGAACGGCGGCTATTTCCGGCGACTGCAGCGGCCGGCTGCAGGATATTCATCGAAGACGGCGCTAAACTGCGAGTCGTGCGAGTATCCAATATGCAAAGTGGTCGGTGGCCGTTTAGTTCAGCCACTATTGACGTAAATTACTGGGATATCGTTGTTCCCTCCCTTCGCTCTCCTCCTTCTTCCCTTAACGCCGTGCGGCGGGAGATCGGATGCCATCGACAACGAAAAGAGAGACAAGGATCGACAGATGTGGAGGAGAAGAGCATATTACATGTATTTACCAAGAACAAGGCAGAATAAACGTAAAGGAAAAATTATTGAAGACGCAGATAAAATCCATGGATAATATTGGAACAGGAAAGATACGTAAAATTAAACATAATCGATCTGTTATATTCCAGCGATTTCGTACAATTTCTCGCTTTTTCTTACAACTAATTGTAAGTGCGAGTATATTTCCATATTCTGTGGCGATTTTCTTCCTTCTTGTAGTAACATTTTTCTATGCACTTGAAAGTTTGAGCAGTACTTTTATAGAGGAAAGTGCCCTACTATGAGATTTCTAATATGAGATAGCGGAGTTTCTGCTAAATTAACAGGTATTATCTGTTGTTTCCACCATGAATTGCCCTTAGAGTGAAATTCGTTTAGTGGAAAATTTATTGTTAGATCGTGCGATCGTTGCGAAAAAAGATGTGATTGAGTTTGAACGTTGAAAGCCTGCTATCTCACATTAGAATCCTATCTCATGATACAAGACTCTCCTCTCTATATATTTCTTTTATTATTTAATTAAGAATCTCGTTTCTTCGATCCCTGAAATTTGTGATCGTGTTCAAAAGTGACGCGCATGCGTTTCCTTCGGCCACAAAGATATTATGTGCTAAATTAAAACAATCCCGCTTGCGAAGTTACTACAGAAGGAGTAAACGTTACATTAGCTTGATAAAGTTGCGGAGGTAACAGATACATCGCGAGTTACGTTTACGATGTTCTAACTGTAAAGATAAAATCCATGGATAATATTGGAACAGGAAAGATACGTAAAATTAAACATAATCGATCTGTTATATTCCAGCGGTTTCGTACACTTTCTCGCTTTTTCTTATAACTAATTGTAAGTGCGAGTATATTTCCATATTCTGTGGCGATTTTCTTCCTTCTGTAGTAACATTTTTCTATGCACTTGAAAGTTTGAGCAGTACTTTTAGAGAGGAAAGTGCCCTACTATGAGATTTCTAATATGAGATAGCGGAGTTTCTGCTAAATTAACAGGCATTATCTGTTGTTTCTACCATGAATTACCCTTAGAGTAAAATTCGTTTAGTGGAAAATTTATTATTAGATCGTGCGATCGTTGCGAAAAAAGATGTGATTAAGTTTGACCGTTGAAAGCCTGCTATCTCACATTAGAGAGAGAATCCTATCTCATAATACAAGACTCTCCTCTCTATATATTTCTTTTATTATTTAATTAAGAATCTCGTTTCTTCGATCCCTCAAATTTGTGATCGCCTTCAAAAGTGACGCACATGTGTTTCCTCCGGACACAAAGATATTATGCGCTAAATTAAAACAATCCCGCTTGCGAAGTTACTACAGAAGGAGTAAACGTTACATTAGCTTGATAAAGTTGCCGCGGAGGTAACAGATACATCGCGAGTTACGTTTACGATGTTCTAACTGTAAAGATAAAATCCATGGATAATATTGGAACAGGAAAGATACGTAAAATTAAACATAATCGATCTGTTATATTCCAGCGGTTTCGTACACTTTCTCGCTTTTTCTTATAACTAATTGTAAGTGCGAGTATATTTCCATATTCTGTGGCGATTTTCTTCCTTCTGTAGTAACATTTTTCTATGCACTTGAAAGTTTGAGCAGTACTTTTATAGAGGAAAGTGCCCTATTATGAGATTCTTAATATGAGATGCGGAGTTTCTGCTAAATTAACAGGCATTATCTGTTGTTTCTACCATGAATTGTCCTTAGAGTGAAATTCGTTTAGTGGAAAATTTATTGTTAGATCGTGCGATCGTTGCGAAAAAAGATGTGATTAAGTTTGACCGTTGAAAGCCTGCTATCTCACATTAGAGAGAGAATCCTATCTCATAATACAAGACTCTCCTCTCTATACATTTCTTTTATTATTTAATTAAGAATCTCGTTTCTTCGATCCCTGAAATTTGTGATCGCCTTCAAAAGTGACGCGCATGCGTTTCCTTCGGCCACAAAGATATTATGTGCTAAATTAAAACAATCCCGCTTGCGAAGTTACTACAGAAGGAGTAAACGTTACATTAGCTCGATAAAGTTGCCGCGGAGGTAAAGGATACATGGCGAGTTACGTTTACGATGTTCTAACTGTAAATGACGGGACGTCTCCCGAGGATAATGAGAGATTCAAATTCAACGATATGACAACGGGGGAGGGCAGAGTACAAAAGGGGGAGCGGGGTGCGATCGCCGAGAGGGGGTCGGCGAGCGGGACAGAGTGTATAGGGCTGATAGGAGCCGCCATTACCCATCCCCCGCGTTAAACCAGCCCCCGCGTACGGCGACATGCAACCCCTGTGTACAATCTCCGTGCGTCGAACGGACCCGTCGAGGAGCCCCGGGCGTTCTCTACCGCAGAATCGCCATTCGATCGGTCCACTCGGGAGGCACGCCGCGATCGCGAGCGTACATACGCACCGGGCGTACCCCGTTCGGTTTAATACCAGCTCGGGGTGGTAGCCAGCTGACCGGTAGCGAGCTAACAGCGGCCGACAAGCTCGTAATTTAGCCCTCTCCCGGGCTCAGGTAGCTGACGCGCGAACAAACCCTTCCTTTTCATCCACCAAGCTGCGCGTTTGCCACGATTTGCCGGTAGGAACATCACGAGCGGCAAATGAGATTTATTCGCGAGCGCGTTGGTCAAGGTATTGGTACAACAGCGGCCACTGGGGGGCAACAATGCGGTAACAACGCGAAATCCACGAGCGCGGGTTGAAAGGGATTTGCGTATCTATGCGCGCGTAGCAGGTATGCTTTTGACGCATTGATACTTTATCGCAATCACGGCTAATTAGTAATACGTCGGGGAGAATAGGGAGATAAATAAATGATCCCGGCTGATGCGCCGAGCAGCATCCCTCCCGGACACATGGACTCTCCGAGGATCGGAGCTGTCTCGGCGAAACGCATTCGCCGTGCTTGTGTTACATGATGCGTACATGATGCATCGCGTGCGCCAAGAAGAAACGTGCGATTCGCCAACTGGAAATCACGCAAACAACTTAGATTTATAAGATGCGCGAGGTAACTATCGTTTTTTGCACGAGTAAATATGTACCAGAAATTAAACGGGAGGAATAATTTTCTCAAGCGGACCTTCCTGCTCGGCGTTTATTTGCGTAGGTATAAAATATATCGTGAGTTACGTTTATGATGTTTCATCTGTTAATTGACGTCTTCCGAGGATACTTAAACGTCTCATTTTCCGACGGTACAGACGCACACTCGCGCTTCGAGCCTCGAACCGCAGTTATCAAGTTCACAAACAGACCGGTGCCAGGCTTCTGAAACGCACCGCGGGGCGAAATAAACACGTGAATGGGTGCGTGCGTATAATGCGCGTATCAGGACAAATCGACGGGATGCATATTCAGGCGAAATTCAAATCCGATCTTGATTTTTCACGGTTCGTTCCCAAACGGCGTTCTCTCCCTTCTCGTTTCCCCCTTTCCGTCTCGGTCTACCCCGTGACGTTTCACTCCGGCGCGATCCTCCCTTCTATCTCTCTCTTCTCCTTCGATCGTTCACTCCCGCCGCCTCTCGCTACCACCGTAGCTTCATTTCTCTCTCCTCCACCCGCCTCTCCTTTCCTCTCGAGGTGGCTTTCCTTCTGGGCCGGGACGCGCCACCTCTTCTTCACTTCTCTCAGCCGCGTCGCGGAATCATTCTCGATGGAACCGTGGATAATGTTTATGGAACGTAATGATAAGGAATGCTGCCTACGGCCGATGGCCACGTTCGCATGAGCGAAGGCGGCGGGGTTGTGCCTCCTCGGACTATTATTTAGTCACGGAAAGCGGCCGCAATTTTGCATAGCTAACACCGCCGCTTCTCAACTTCGACGGACCCGCCGCAGTCATCGATTCCCGTTTACCGCTCGTAATCGTTAATAATTTGTCGGATCACGTATTACGGTTTTGTCACATTCCGTCGACAGATTTATCTCCAACGCCTACCGTATTCCTATATAATAAACTGTACAAGAAAAAAAAAACAGTTGCCTACCGATTTCTGGCCGTGATAACGCAATCGATGAAACTTTGGGTGCTTCATCAAGATCATCGAAACGCCTCCATATCTCATGATATTATCTGAAAATTAATTAATTAATAATTTATATCACACGCATCTTATCACGCATCGTCATTGATGAATCTTCCTC